AAGTACTGGATTGCTAACCACAAGGTTGGCAGTTCAAACCCACCAACTGCTCTCAGTAGCACTATATGGGCTCTCTACGAGTCATTACTAACTCAACTGCGCACAGCAATCCTCTGTTTATTCACTCACTCATTCATTCAGGTACGGTTTGGCCAAGTTTAAGGTGTTTTCCATTATTGCCCCAGGAGAACATTAAGCAGAATGTTGGGAAAGAATAAATCCAAATCCAATGCCGTGGAATTGATTCTGACTTGTAATGATCCTCTAGTAGGTAGAACTGCTCCTTTGGGGTTTTTGCGACTGTAAGTCTTTATAGAAGCAGACAATTTCATCTTTCTCCCAAGGAGTAGCTGGTGGGTTGAAGCTACCAACCTTAGAGTTAGCAGGCAAATGCTTAACCCATGGCATCACCAGGGCTCCTTGGCAAAGTGAGTACCTAATAAATACCTTTTACAAATTCCTCCAGATGCTAAGAAAATTCTCCTTCCTCTTTTTTTTTGGGTCTTTTTTTGCATTAAGAAGGTGGGGATGACAAAGGGGGCCATAACTGTACCTCTTTGCCTCCTGGCCCCTGGTAACCAAACGAAACCAAACCAAACCTGCTGTCATCGAGTCGATTCCGAGTCACAGCGACCCTATGGAGAGTTTCTGGGTCTGTAAATGTTTACAAGAGCAACCAGCCTTCTTTCTCCCATGGAGAAACTGATGGGTTTGAACTGCTGAGCGTGCAGCTAGCAGTACCACACCTAACCCACAGAGCCACCAGGACACTGAGCATATTTTTTGGATTTGTTTCTTGTGAAAATATTCTCCTCTGCATGCCAGGGAACTGTAGGATGCAGAAAGCAGTGTAGGCTATGGTGCTATGCAAATCCACAGTGCAGCCACAGTGATGGGCATGCAGTCTCCCTCCCTTCCAGCTCCAGAAATGTAGTGCTTTCTCCAAGGAACTGTGTGATCCTGCTTTTGGGTTTGCACTGATGTGACAGTAGTGAGCAGGGAAGTGGAAAAGGATGCTTTACTTGACAGGGTTTGGGGAAAATCCAAGTTAGAATGTTTGAAGTGGGTGGACATAACCTTAGAGAAAAGTCAATTAAACCACCAGGTGGTTTAATAAAGAAATGAAACCCAAATAGGTTTGGGTGACTTGCCCTTCTGACTTCTAGTCTCAGCATTTCCCTCCAGCACTGGACTCCCCTCCCTGAAGGACTGAATATCTTCCTTGAACAGACAGGCAAGAAAATGCCAGTACCAGGAATATCGCTGGTATAGCGTTGGTTTCAACACCTGAGTCAAGGTTGTATACCTTCATATGTTGTTGTTGTATGCTGGCAAGTCAGTTCCAAATCATAGGACCCTGTACAGAGTTTCAGAGAACATCTGGTGGGTTTGAACTACCTACCTTGCAGTTATTGGTCCAATGTTCATCCTACAGTGTCACACCAGGACTAGACCTTCATATATTGTTGTTGCTGTTGTTAAGTGCTTTGGAGTCAGTTACGAGGCATAGCAACCCTGTATAGTGTTTCCAAGGAGCAGCTGGTAAGTTTGAACCACTGACCTTGTGGTTGAAATTGACCTTGTGGTACAGCGCTTTATCCCACAGCACCATACCAGGACACCATGTCTTCATATTGTTGTTATTGTTGTTAAGTGCTATCGAGTAGGTTCCAACTCACAGCGACCCTGTAATATGGTTTCCAAGGAGCAGCTAGTGAGCTTGAACTGCCGACTTTTCCGCTCAAACTGACCTTGCAGTCCAGCACATTAGCCCATAGCAGAAAAAACAAAGTCACTTTTGTAGGTTCATAAAATGGTTATTTTACCTTTTACTTTATTCCAAAACAAGTTTGTGTTCATCATACTAGGAAAAACAAACAAACAAAAATGACAGAAATGGAGAATCTTCCTACTTTAGTAAAGTCAACTCAAAAATAAAGATTCTAAACAGATTGTAAGCAGAATTCAAATAAATAGCCCCAATACAAGAAATGCTTTATTTGACAGGCTACAAGGCTTATTCACATGCTTTATTCAATCTAGTCTCACAACAGCCCTGTGGGGTAGGAGGAAGGGACTTGCTAGCTCCAGTACTGAGGCTCACAGCAGCCAGCAACCTGCTTGAGGACTCACACTTAAGTGTCAAAGCCAAGGCCACAGCTACAAACATCAGGATTACAGGGTATATCTGCTTGAAAATGGCCAAATGTGCTCATTAAGGGGATCAGACTGAGGAGACTTAGCACAAAACTGAAACTCACAAGAAGCTTTGAAAAGAAGTTGACTTGTGAAGTGTTTGGGGTTACAGAACCTGTGTGGTTATTCTTGGAAGAAGGGTTGCTTCTCTGAAGAATAAGGAGATCTTGTGTGATGAATGAAGGAAGTCCTGGTAGTGCAATGGTTAAGCTCTCACCTACTAACTGGAAGGTCAGCAGTTCAAACCCACCAGCCACTCTGTGGAATAAAAGACCTGGAGACCTATTCCTGTTAAAATTATAGCCTAGGAAAACTTAGGTGGCCTTTCTACACTGTCCTGGTGGTTGGTGGTTATGTACCATGGGGTCGGTTCTGACTCATAGTGACCCTGTACAGGGTTTCTGAGGCTGTAAATCTTTACGGGAGCAAAAAGTCTCATCTTTCTCCTGCAGAACAGCTGGTAGTTTCGAACTGCTGACCTTGCGGTTCGCAGCCCGATTCATAACCACTACACTACCAGAGCTCTGTCCTAGAGGGTCATTATTAGTTGGAATCAACTCAATAGCAGACAAATAAACAAACAAACAAAAACTTGAGAGGAAGAAATGTTTTCATAGGCTACCCATGGATCTTGTAGATGGACCAAGAGTTTCCCTGGACCCAGGCTGCCTCAGCAGGAGATCCAGCTGGCTCACGGGCAATGGTCTGGTGTGAGGACCAGGCTGTCTGAAGCCTCCTCTGTGAACATGAACATGAACGTGAAGTTGAGCCCACTAACTGTGTGCACAGACTTCCCTCTCATGACAGGCACTTTGCTACCCAGGACATATCTTTGCTCATTGATGCACTGGGAACACTCTTCATCTCTCTTCCTGACACCCAGTTTTTTCCCTATGATAGTTCAAATATTTGGGCCATTCTCGTCACTGCCACAGAATAAGCACAGCCTTCATTTCTAGTAATTTTGTTGGAACAGCTCTTGCTTTCTCTCTACCCTCTTTACTATCAACATATACACACACATACATGTGAACACATACAAAGCCCACTGCACAACTGCTTTTCATAAAGAGTCTCTAATCATAGACACAGGTGGGGATGGTGATGGGTGAAGCATCTCTACGCCAGGGGCATGGTGGGATATCTGACACGTGCTGGGAAGGCAGCTTGCCCAAAGTCACTGAGACAAATTAGTGTTGAGGGTAAAAAGATGACATAAACAAAATAAAAACAAATTTTAAAAAAGAGAGAGCAGGAGATTGGGAAACTGGGAGGGGGAATTGTTGAGATAAGAGAAGGCCAGAGGGCTTGCCTATTTTGAAGTTGTTGTTGTTAAGTGCCGTGGAGTCGGTTCCAACTCATAGCGACCCTGTACAGGGTTTCTGAGGCTGTAAATCTTTATGGGAGCAGAAAGCCTCATCTTTCTCCTGCGGAACAGCTGGTAGTTTCGAACTGCTGACCTTAAGGTTCACAGCCCAATTCGTAACCACTACGCTACCAGAGTAATAGAAACAAAATAAGGCAAACTGGATCATCTTTTCCCAGCCTGCTTCACCGGCCTGACACTATCCTAGGTGTACACCTGCCACTCAGTCTCCTTGGAGAGTCCCTAGCAAGTTTCTGTCAAAGTGCTGCACATGGCTTAAGGACTTTTGTCTACCGGGAAGAGTTCTTCTCTCAAGGAAAGGAAACTGTATCTTTAGCCTGAGGCACAAAGTTTACAAAATTTTATAAATTGACATCAGAGCTATCACGTCTTACTTAAAATATTAGGCAAAATATCTCATTGTAAAGGAAAACGTCATATTAATATGAACCATGGATCTCCCAGCATCTTGATGGTTAAATGCACTACCACAACCTCTATACTTGGAAATGGGGACTTGTAATCAGGAGGTTCAGGCTTTCATTGGTTCATATTTAAGTACAGGATCACATCTAGAGTTGAAATTTCATAGGCTGCTATCGGCACTTAGAATTATCTCGATATATAATCGAGAAGTTGGATCACAGATCATGGAGAAAGTTTGTCATAAATGTCATCAGCTGTTTGATTTTATCAAGCAATTTGAAAAGAGGAGGAGGTAAGAGGATGGGGAAGAGGAGAAAGAACTAACATTCTGAGTACCTTCTAGGTGTCAGGCACTATCCCTTTATTTCTTATTCCATCTTCCCAATAACCACATGAGACAGCTTGGAAAGGTCAACTTAATTCTCCAGAGTCATACAGCTGCTCAGTGGCAGGGCTGACTTGAGAGCCCACGGTCCTTCCACTGCTATGCAATGTGATCCAGTCATATGCTGCTCCTGTGGTCAGAAAAGCCATGGCTCCATGAGCTTTCTATCCTGAGATATTTACATTTAAAAAAATTAAACATATCCCCCTTTAATATTTCATTTACATTTCAGATTGGACTAAGCTAGCCTCATCCAATACTCCCATGGAAGTCAGGTCTGATACTATTTTTTGAAAAAAGAGTCATTAAAGATGAGAAACAAGTCTTTTCCCAAAATTACAAAGAATTGCAAATTCCTGCTGAGGTCAGGAATAAGACCCAAGGCCTCCTTCTAAATGTATAGCAACCTTACCTGATACTTCACTGCTTATTAAGCCAAGGATCTAAGAATTAGAAGCAATTTATCAGATATTCCCTAAAGAAACAAATCAACCTGAAAGTTTTCCGGATCTGCAAATAAAATTTCAATTGGTTAAGAAATAGCCTGGCATCCCTTCCCACTCCAATTATGAACTCCTGGGTTTTCAGCTCGGTTCCTGACCCAGGTATAATTCTTAACTAGCAGTATCATTCTAAACTCAGCCTGGGGAATAGCCACCACAATCCCTGCCTTCTCTCCATTTCCACAGGAGGAGGATGGTAAATGTCATCTGTGGGCTGCTCACTTCCTGTTACAGTCTTCACATATATGTGGCCTTCTTCTGCCACCAGCACGCTGTCATTTGTGGATGAGTGCCGAGGATTCTTGAGGAGAGAAAAAAAAAAAAAGAGTGTTGCTGGTTTTATTTGTTTGTTTTAATATAGCAGAGACTTCTGCTTTCATCCAAGATGATATAACAGCAACCAGATTTATCCTCCTGTCTAAAACAACCAAAATTGAGATAAAATATGAAAAAATGGATTTTAAGACCCTGAACTTCAGACAAGGAAGACAGGTGACCCTTGAGAGACCAAAAAAAAAAAAAAGGTCAGGCTTACAATTGCCTGAGTTTACTGCCTTGGAGAGTTTTCAGACAGTGGTATATGCCCAAGCATAGTCAGAAGGAAGATTTCCTTACTTGAGAAGGAGCTGAGAGTCTGTTGAGAACAAAAGAGCTTTAATTCACAGGGTAAAGTGCTAGAGAAGAGATAGCTGGACATAGAACTCCAAAGATGCACAAGCTTGGTAGGAGACTATCTGAGATGGAGCTAATCATCTAATAAGGGATAGTCCCTTGGTTGTTGTTGTTGTTAAGTGCCATGGAGTCGGTTCTAACTCACAGCCACCCTGTATAGGGTTTCCAAGGAGTAGCTGGTGAATTTGAACCACCCACCCATCTGGGGTTCAAAGTGACTTTGTAGTCTAGTGCTTATCCTACAGTGCCACACCAGGATTCCTTTACTTGGTGATAATCTTTGCTGTGAAATCTACTTTATTTGCTAGTAAGATGCTATTCAAGCTTGAGTTTGTTTAATGTTAGTTAGCACAGTATCTCTTTTTCTATCCTCTCACTTTTAATATATTTATGTTTTTATGATTAAAGTGAATTTTGTGTAGGCAGTTTTAAAATTCAATCCTTGCCTTTTAATTGAGGTCCATGTGCCATTTGCAATTAATGTGATTACTGATATTTGTCATTATTTTGTTAGCTGGCGTTAAGTTGACTCTGACTCACGGAGATCCCAGATGTGTAGAGTAGAACTGCTCAAGATTTTTAAGGCTGTGACATTTTGGTAGCAGATCACCATACCTGCCGTCTGAGGTGCTTCTGGGTGTGTCTAAACTACTTTCAAGGAGTAGTCAAATGCCTAACTCTCTGCACCACCTAGGGTCTCCTGGTTCATGATAAGGTGGTGGTGGCATGCCATGGAATCAGTTCCAACTCATAACAACCCTGAATAGGGTTTCCAAGGCTGTAAATCTTTATGAGAGCAGAAAGTCTCATCTTTCTTCTACACAACAGCTGGCAGCTTCGAACTGATGACATGGAAGTTAGCAGACCGACTCATAACCACTATGCTACCAGAGCTCCTTGGTCAATGATATGGTGAGGTTTAAATTTACCAACTTGCCATTCGTTTTCTATTTATTCCACGTGATACTATTACTTTTAAAATCTTAAATTAATTAATCAATTGTGCCCTTTTTTTTTGTCTTGGCTTTTCTTATCCTTTTTTTTCTTTCATATAGGTTTTTAAAGGATTTTACTGAATTCTGTGGGCAAAAATTTTTTTCATTTGGATTTATATTGGAATTACATATATTATGCAAATCAGTTTTGAGTTGATTGACATCATTATTGAATCTACTATTCTGAGCATGGTGTATAACTGCCATTATTTACGTTTTATTTGTCTCTTTTACTAAAGCTTTACTGTTGCCCATAAAGAGATTACATATTTTTGTTAGACTTTTCATCACTGTGATACTCATACATATATTCTATTGTCACTAAAAAAAAAGTATTTTTAAGAATTAATTTTTCTAATTGTTGTTGATATTTAGAATTACAATTACTTTTGGATACTGATTTTATATACAGTAAACTTGTTTTAAAAATCTCTTGTTGATTCTAATTATTTAACTATTGATTACTTGGCTTTTCTACATACATATCAAATCACCTCTAACAGCAATTTTGTTTTTTCCTTCTAGTCTTACACTTTTCTATTTCGTTTTGATTAGGAGTTTAAATACAATTGAACAGAGGTCTTATGAGTAACCATCCTTGTTTTGTTTCTGATCTTAAAAAGAATGCTTTCAACATTTTACCTTAGATATGTTTGCTGTAATTTTTAAAAAATCCTCTTTCAAGTTAAGGGTGTTCCTGTTCTGTTTTTGGCTTACTAAGAGTTCACACAGGAAAATACTGAAAGTGCCATGGGCTGCCAAAAGAACCAATAGATCTGTTTTGGAAGAAGTGCAGCCAGGGTGCTCCTTGAAGGCCAAGACTGCCAGACTTTGTCTCTCATACTTCAGACATATTGTCAGGAGGGACCAGTTGCTGGAGAAGGACATCATGTTTGGTAAGGTAGAGGGTCAAAGAAAAAGAGGAAGACCCCCAACGAGATGGATTGGCCAAGTGGCAGCATCGATGGATTCAAGCGTGGCAACAGTAGTGAGGTTGGCCCAGGATTGGGCAGTGTGTTGTTCTGCTGTGCATAAGGTCACTATGAGTTGGTACCGACTCAATGCACCTAACAACAACAACAAGAGTTCATATCAGAAATAGCTGTTGAATTTTTTTAAAAACTCTTTTCTCTTATTGAGATGGTCATATGAATTTTCTCTTTTAATTTGTCAGTGAAGTGAATTGCATTAATTGATTTTCCATTATTAAATCAACCTTGCATTTCTGTCCAGTCAGTAAGAATCCATTGAGAAATACCTGTGTTAAAATTCCACTCGGTAGCCTCTTACTACAGTGTGCTTTTCCTTTCAAAGCAAGCTTTAGAAGCTCTCAGCTTAGTTAATATATAAATGACAGAGATTACAAACGAGTTCTTACCTCAGATACCTTGGGATTGTCATAGATGTCTGAAATTTCACATGGTCTTTCATGTTCCTAAATTGGTACACAAACAAAGAAGAAGAACTGAAGGATCACAGCATTTAACCTGGACCACTGGTAGCGTAGTGGTTAAGAATCGGGCTGCGAACCGCAAGGTCAGCAGTTCGAAACTACCAGCCACTCCGCGGGAGAAAGATGAGGCTTTCTGTTCCCGTGAAGATTTTACAGCCTCGGAAACCCTATACAGGGTCGCTATGGGTCAGAATCGACTCGATGGCACTTAACAACAACAACAATAATTAAAATCAGTGATTCTTAAAACTGGAAGCATATTAATCATCATGAAGTTTCAAAAACAAAAATGATGTAAACGAACAGATTATGACTCTCCCTCTGTCCCCCTCAAAACAAACAAACAAACAAACAAACAAACAAACAAACAAACAAACAAACAGTTTGAGTTACTTTGAAAATAATCCCTTATGGGTAACTTTTTTATTTTTCCTGAGCTGCTCTCAGGACTCTGTAATTGTCTTTAGTTTAAAAAAAGTTTTATTATGTCTTGGCGCTTTACTTTTGGGGTCTATCCTCTTTGGCGATATATTTATTGAATGGCTATCTTCTCATCTTTCATCACGTTAGGGTATTTTTCACCCAATAACTCAGACAAAATTTTCTATGGGTATTGGGTTGTTGTTTTTTTTGTCTCATCCTGTTCTAGAATTCCAATCACACGTAAGTTATTCCTCTTGATGGTGTCCCACATAAATCTTAGGTTTTCTTAGAAATATTTTATTCTTTTTTTTTTTCTGATCGTTCCTTTGTTGTTGTTGTTGTTGTTGTTGTTGTTGTTGTTGTTGTTAGGTGCCATTGAGTCAGTACCAACCCACAGCAATCTTATGCACAGTAGAACGAAACACTGCCCAATCCTGGGCCAACCTCACTACTGTTGCCACGCTTGAGTCCATCGATGCTGCCACTTGGCCAATCCAT